CTGCTTGTGTTCCCTCTCTCGTTGTGTCTCTCTCTGTCAAATAAATAAAATCTTTAAAAATAATAATAATAATAAAAAATAAAACTGACTTTTGAATGCTTTTTTCTACTTTCCCCTAGACTGAAGAATCCCCTTAAGGAGAAAAATACAGTATGAGAATCAAAACAAATTTTTCTACTACCAGCCTTTCAAAAGTGAGAGTCTATTTATTTCTTTAAAATAGTCTTTCTTGGGGCGCCTGGGTGGCTTAGTTGTTAAGCATCTGCCTTCGGCTCAGGTCATGATCCGGGGTCCTGGGATCAAGCCCAGCACTGGGCTCCCTGCTCCGCGGGAAGCCTGCTTCTCCCTCTCCCACTCCCCCTACTTGTGTTCCCTCTTGCTGTGTCTCTCTGTCAAAAAAATAAAATAAAATCTTAAAAAATAAAATAAAATAGTCTTTCTTGGGGCGCCTATGTGGCTCAGTCAGTTGGGTGTCTGCCTTCAGTTCAGGTCATGATCCCGGGGTCCTGGGATTGAGTCCCGCATCAGGCTCCCTGCTCAACGGGAGTCTGCTTCTCCCTCTGCCCCTCAACCTGGCTCATGCTCTCTCTCGCTGTCTCTCAAATAAATAAAAATCTTAAAAAAAAAAAAAAAAAGTTAAAAGAAGAAAATAGTCTTTCTTTTCTTTCTTCTTTTTTCTTTTTTTTGGTCTGTTATCTCTACACCCAACGTGGTGCTTGAACTCACACCCTGAGATCAGAGTTTCATGCTCTTCTGACTGAGCCAGCCAGGCACCCCTCTAAAGTAAGCATTTAGACCATGTGATTATCAACTCTTAGGTCTACTCAGCACATAATTACTACAAAATATGTACAGCCAAAAATGTAGAGAGCCAACCCAAAACTTCTTTCCCTTCACAACTGTGCCTTCAGATTTCCACACATCCAAGAAGGAAGTGGAAATGATGACCGGTTCTGATCAAATGTGTCCTCACTAACCTTGGTCCTGCTCATTTGAAGAGATCCCTAAGGAAACATCAGTGACATTCTCTGGGTTCAAGTGAGTAATGGCATCAGATATTCTGTCCAGAGAGATGAGGGCTTCTGCAGCATATAAATGGCCCAAAAACCTAAGATGAAAAGAACAGATTCCAAACTGAGAAGTAGGTCATCACAAAACACCCAATGTATAACAAGATTTGGTGTACACATGCTTCACATATTTCAAATCTTTGAATTGAAATAGAAGTTTATAAATGGATCAATTAAAGGTCACTTAACTCTTACCTCTTTATATAAAAATATCTTAAAATATACAATAATTTTTATATCAGCTAAGCTGGAACAAATGACACATATCAATTAAGAAAGAAGTCCAGAATTGGCAAATTTACTATTCTGTTTATGCAGAAAATAACATTAACATAAGGAAAGGAATGAAGTTCTAAAATAAGAGACAGGTCCAAGGATGAATCCTCTAGTCTCCGCTGCTGGAATAGTCAAAACACATCAGGGTGCCAAATGGGACTCAGACCAGATTTGGGTTAGATCAACTTTACTTTCTATCCCAAAGGTTTCCTGCTTTTCAAATCATCTATTTTATGCCTACTGATGTTTTTACGACAAATACGCATCCTCCCGGCTTATAAGAGCCTGCTTCTTCCGGTCTTTTACTTACAGGCCATTTTTCTCTATGATCACCTGATTGATTTTTCAAAATTAAAAGAGGATTAGGTATATTCCACCCTTGCTGAAAATCTTAATGACTTTTCCTACCTGAGAACAAAACTTTTTATCAACTTAAAGCTCTCCAAGTTTGGTCCCACTTTTCTATATCCAGTCAATATTCCCACCCCCTCAAAAATTGCTCTGGTCCTACCAGACAGTGTCCTGGGCAGGGCGCACCCACTGTTCCCCCATGGCCTGGCCTTCTTGGGCAAGCCTGGCCTCATCTCCACAAGCCAACATCTATTCCTCCTTTTATTTTATTTTTTAAGATTTTATTTTCAAGTAATCTCTATACCCAATGTGTGGCTTGAAATCACAAACTTGACATCAACAACTGCATGCTCTACCAACTGAGCCAGTCAGGGATCTCTCTACTCCTCCTTTTAAATGGCCAGCGAGGTCTCACCTACTCTAGCTAGCCTGACCCAACTGAATCTGTCCCCATGAATCTCGAGTCCTCAAATTTTAGGCTCTTTTCAATATAACCTTTTTAGAGATTTACACATATTAACCACTCAAGAGCTGTTTAATTCTTTATTAAGCAATTTCTTCTAACTAAGAGGGGCTGCAATGACCTTATTTTGGTTCTCTACCAAATACCCTAACAGAAATGACAAGTTTTTAAAAAATCAGTAGGGGCACCTAGGTGGCTCAGTCGTTAAGCGTCTGCCTTTGGCTCAGGTCATGATCCCGGGGTCCTGGGATCGAGCCCCACATCAGGCTCCCTGCTCAGCAGGAGGCCTGCTTCTCCCTCTCCCCTTGCTTGTGTTCCCTCTCTCACTGTCTCTCTCGTCAAATAAATAAATAAAATCTTTAAAAAATCAGTAACTTCACTTATATTTTGAAATAAGATAATTTAAAAATTTCATTAAAGTAGTATCCACAAGCCAGTAATCATTACAAAACACAAACACATAAATTCAAAGAACTACTTCAAATTGTCTTCTGTGAATTACTTTATTAAAAACATCTTCCTTTTGGGGCACCTGGGTGGCTTAGTCGTTAAGCGTTTGCCTTCGGCTGAGGTCATGATCCCAGGGTCCTGGGATGGAGCCCCACATCGGGCTCCTTGCTCAGCGGGAAGCCTGCTTCTCCCTCTCCCACTCCCCCTGCTTGTGATCCCTCTCTCGCTGTCTCTCTCTGTCAAAAAATAAATAAAATCTTTTAAAAAATTAAAAAAAAAAAATCTTCCTTTTTTAGCCAAATGAAATGCCTTCATGACACTCAAAGCCAAGAAATCTTTGACCAGGTGTACAGAAAGCAAAAAGCTGTGGGGTAAAGCTGCTGTGGTATGTGAGCTGCCAAATGCAGAATTACCTGCTTGTCTTTGCTGGGAAGACAGACAGTGGCCTTGTTATTAATTAAGAAACCAATACTTAGGAAAGAATAGTTAAGAGAATTAAAAAAGAAATCAAGAGAATTAAAAAAAGAAATTGCCAGACACAGCTTGGCCAATCCCTCAAAAGTTGATAAACTTAAAAACCCTCCAACGAATGCCAAGTAAAGAATCTACCTGGGATTTGAGAACAGTGACCGCAATGTCAACCAAAGAGGTTGAAAAAGCAGTGAAGATTTGTGTTTCACTTCTGTTAAACAGCAAAACAAACCGAACACTGCTCTAATCATGGCCATGGCACCACAGGCCAAGTGTGGACTTCGGCGGCAACTCTGGGCTGCTACTTCCCCGAGTTGGACGGTGGTGTCCTCAGAGGCAACCCCGCTGCTTGAACTGGAACTGGGGATCCCTCCAGGTCTCAATGTTAGACAAGGCTTTCTTATATTTGATTGTGGCAAAGCCTCTTATGTTACTGGATGTTCTTTTAATCTTTTTTTTTTTTTTTGAAACACAAGATATGTTTGGGAAACACTGACCTAAAATAACCGTAATCATTGTTAATTTTAGATGACTGTATAAAGTAATACTTTTTCTTAAGGACAAACATAATTAAACATCAACAGAATTATTCCTCAGAGTATATTCTCCCAATTCTAAGCATTGCACATTATAAACAAAGACCATTAAAAGGCAAGAGTAAGTAATTATATTCTGGAGATTATAGGTATATACCCACAAGATGAATGAAAAAACAACTGTCCTAATGTTATGCAAAGTATCTGTGGTTCCGAATAAAATTTCTAGCAGAGCATCATACAAAGATTCAAAGACAGCTGCATCTCACTCAACCTCCATAAATGGAAAGAGAGGTGCTTTAGCCAATTTTAGACTGACAATGACACTAATACTGAAGAGGCATAAAACTCAGGTAGTCAGAATTGTTATCTATTTAAATTGCATTCCTTGAAGCAGATTTATCATGCTGACTAAACTCCTGTTTTTGTGGGTCTTCTTCCTGAGGACTCATCTTATTTTGGGGACTAATACGTGAAAATATGCTCCAGTCAGGCCTAGTAGTGGACACTAGACAGTGCAAAGTTTCTGCCTCCTGATACTCAGTACAGCAAATGCTACTTCCCTTAATCCTCGAGGTACAACAAGGGAAAAGAACTACCAAATTAATGTTTTAGTCAGTTGCTTTGTCTAGATAATACATCCCACTGGGGGAGTAAAGAGCAGCAATATGTACCACAAACTAATTGAAAACCTCCAAACAAAACGACCCTGGGACACACAGGGGAAGTCACACTTACTTAAGCGATCCTGACAGCTTGGGCTGCTGAAGAAGTTTATCTGCGTGATTCAAAGCCATAAGGTTATCACCCAAAGCCAGAGCCACGTAAGCACTACAGGCAAGTATGGAGCATCTGGAACACAAAAGGGAAGGGCTGAAAACCTGAGTTACAAAATTGACAATGGTTGTATTTGTTATTAAATACGAAAGAACGCCCTAATTAAAGCTGTGACAATCTGGACACCGGGAAAGAAGAGAGTGGAAGTCACAACAGTAATGGTAAGAATCAGGATGATGTATAAAACTACCATCTGAGGCACAGTGTGGCTATCTACCCAAACCATCTTCAGCTTCCATCCAACTGACCCCCATCTCCAACAAAATAACCAAAAGGAGTTACAATATTTAGCCTGTAAAAAAATATGTAGTTAATGGCCTAGTGAGAATTTACTTCCCATAGAACATTTAACATCCTAGAAATAAAGTTCCAGAAGCAGATTACTATTCTTTCAAACTCATTTCGCCGAGAAACACAATTAACTCACTAAAAAATCCACTTAGCTTAAAGTATTCTTCTCTGAACCTGTTAAGTCTATAGTTCTTGCTAAGCAACAATATCAAGAGTAACTAAAAGAATTTCATTCATACACGTACTATTACCCCAAATGAATATTCAAGAAAGAAATCAGGATGAGTAAATACACGTGAAGATAAGAAAATTTAAGTTAGGGGCGCCTGGGTGGCTCAGTTGGTTAAGCAACTGCCTTCGGCTCAGGTCATGATCCTGGAGTCCCGGGATCGAGTCCCACATCGGGCTTCCTGCTCGGCAAGGAGTCTGCTTCTCCCTCTGACCCTCCTCCCTCTCGTGCTCTCTGTCTCTCATTCTCTCTCTCTCAAAATAAAAATAAAATCTTTAAAAAAAAA